TTTTCAAGTCAGCTTGCACAAGCTAGGTTACAGGCCTCTAATCTCATTTGCACTCAATAATTCAATGCTAAACCATTGTGCCAAGATGTTATTTTGTGCATTTGGTCATTACATGAAGGATTAGTCTTAAAATAGAAAAAGCATTTTAGCCATTTTTGAAAAGAGGCACTTTATGTCAAAACACAAATCAAAGAGGTACAAAGCAGATCTTTTGGGCACAAGATTATGGACTAATCCCACTGATCAAGGAGAGATTTTGTAGCATGCTTGAGGGGCCTGTAATAGCCTATAATCAAGTTTGACAAACTTTGCTTATCTAGGAAGAAACTTTGCAAAATTGATCCCAACTTACATTCCTGCAAGCAAGAACTAAAACAAACTTTCTCCACACATTGCATACTTGATAACTGACCTAAGGCACGACCTAACCACCTTCAATACCTCCTCATTCACAGAAACACCGTCCTACTGCAAAAAACAGAGTCCCTTCTGCAACTAGACTTCTATAAACCTTTCCACTCGTGCACTTTGGCCAAAAAGAGTTCAAACATGTTCCATATCACCCACTGAAGCTATCCCAAGCATTGAACACAAACTGTAACATCCCTAACATCACTTGCCATTTTCAGTTTTCAACTTTGCAGGTGGACTTCCATAGCTCGATTCAGTCAGTTTCAAAGCAAGCTAGAGGTTGGAGAAGCATCCCTGAACCTCAAGCAAGTTGTACAAGTCCTCACACTGCATTGAAAGTGCCTCCATTGTTGTACATGATTCAAGCTGAACAGGTAAAAGTTTGAACTTCTATCTCTCTATCCAGGCATATCTAGGCTTAGGTTTGTGAAGAAGTTATGTCCTACTCATGACCCTGAAGCTACCCATATCCTCACTTTCCATTTATTTTGTGTGTGCTGAGAGAATTTAAGACATGAACATTAAAAAAAACTTAGGTTAAAAATTGGGGGAGAGAAAATTCTCTCTCATTTCTGAGAGTTAGAACAACTTTTTTATATGAATGAATTCGTGATTTAATGCTCTGCATAGTTTATGTTGTGAGTTGTGGCTGAAAATCAAGGAATCAGGATGTTTGAACAAGGTAGGAAAGACGCGCATTTTTGACAGAAAATCTGGCTGGAGGTTGAAGACAACTCTCCTTGGGCTGGGCCTGGCTTGTTTTTTCTGTTTACACCACCTTTTCACACTTACACCCCCCTGGCCCATTATGTGATATATTTGTCATTTTTGATTTTTTCTTTTTGATTCTGATTTTATATTTTCATTCAAGCATGAAAAAACACTAAAAATATTTTTCTCACATTTTTTTGCATTTTATTTGATATTTGTTTGTTTCATTTAGTTACATATATAAATAAATATAATACTATTTGTTTAAAACATTAAAAATAATAATACAAACATATTTTTTAGTTATTATTTTTTTTTATTTACATTTTGAAAACATTTTCTGAAAAATATACTTCTTTTTTGTAAATAATTAACATTTTTTTATTTTTGTACATATTTAATATATTTAGTAAATAATATAAATACTTATCTATCTTTTATTAAATATTTAGGATAAATACAAAAATAATGCATTTTTATCTTTATTAATATTTGACCTCAAAAATTACTTTTTTACAAATATACTTCTCTTTTATTTATTTATGTATATAATTAATAAATATTGTATATAATAAATATTAAATACTATTTATTTACCAAAATTAGGGTTTTGCCCTAAACATGAAAATATCCAAAATTAACCTTTTTATTATTTTTATTTCACTTGTAAATAAATCATACATTTACACAATACATTGATACATACACATTTACTTATTCCTATACATTGATACATATTACATTTGCGATTGATTCGATTTGGTTGTAAATATTGGGATACCATTCTCCTATTTAAGTCTCATCCCCATTTGAACATTTGTACCCCCATCCCCATGATTACTTTGTAATAATTTAGGACTTTAAATTCCGCATTTTTAAGCTTTCTAAATATGCCATGATAGACTTAGGGTTTGTATGCAAAAAATAAATAGCTTGACTTAATTCAAAGATAATAAAGCATGAAAATGGACAACACCAATCACACTTGCACCCCTAGGGTTACTCCACTTGTTGCCTTCAATAATGGGCCATGTTGCATGTTGGGTGTCTTTGGCAAAACAAAAACAATTCAAATGATCATAGTCCCTCGATGACGCTTTCGAAAGTTGCCTAAAAATGATCAAGTCCCTTAAAGGAAAAGTTGCCAAAGACACTTGGCACCATTGTAATCATGGTCTAAACGATGACTCGCGCCCGTCCCGTTAACATCCTAGCACAAGATTGTCCACCAAATACAATGGTGGAACAAAATTGTTAAAAGGGTTAAAACATAGAAAAAGCCTTTGAGTAAATTTAGGGGTAGACAAAACTCTTAGTTACTTGATCAAACTTGCAAAACACGCTTGCCTACTTTTCAAAACCACACTCCACAACACTTTCAAAAACACTTTCAAAACAACTTTCAAAAAACATTGAAAACTTTTCAAAAGATAAGTACACCTTTGTATACATTCAAACATGGATCATTACAAAGGTTGTCACCACAAATGGCCTCTTTTCAAAACATTTTCAAACCCACACACAAAGCACCATTTCAAACAATTGAAAACACAAGGCAAGTGATCTAAGCAAGTAACTAAGAGCCCATGGATAACCATGGATAGAAAGGGTGCTAATACCTTCCCTTTCTATAATCTACCCCCCGAACCCAAGAAAACATCTCAAAGGTTTTTGCTGTGCTTTTTAAACCTTTCCTTAGGATAAAATAAAAAGTCGGTGGCGACTCTTGCTCAACCGAAACATTTGCGAAAACAAACGCAAAACTCAAGTCAGTTCTCCCACCGTATCACACTAAGCATGCTTCTGGACGCAACATCAGAAGCTTCTGCTTCTGATTAATAACAACTTCTAATTATATCAAACTACTGCTTCTAACTAAGAAGTCTCAAAAGCTTACAACTTCTGGCTAACGACCTCAGAAGCTTGAATAATAACATCGTCTGAATATGAATTACTTCCAACAAGATTGAGAGGGTGGAGAACAGAGAATCGTGAGTTGAGATTGAGAGAGTGGAGACCACAAAATCGTGAATCGTGCATGTGTTTAGGGTTTTAGGTTGGGTGGATATTTTATTTGGTTGTGGTTATCCAATAAACTAGATATGGATATTCAAATATATTTTAAAATAGATCGGTTGAAAAACCAAAATAAAATTAACCGGTTTTTGATAACCGAATATGAATATGGTTATGGATAAACCATCAAACCAGTTAATTTGAGCATCCCTACCTGATAGTAAAGCTCTCAATTGGAAAGTAGTCCCTTATTCCTTTTATTTATTATTCACAAAACATGCTCTCAGACAAGTACTAGTACAAGAGGTAGAAGGATGGAAAAAATGGTATACTTTGTAAGAAAGAAATTCCTAGATGCAGAGATGTAATTTAGGACTATATATAACTACTTGTACTCACCCTGGTAACCATAATATGATGTTTCAAGCCCAATTTTAGAGTCATGGAAAAGTGGTGAATACACAGTACCCCGTAAAGTGTGTTTTGAGGAATATGTTGGCCTTGCATGAAGAATGGTGTAGTAGTATGGTTTGTTGTAGGAATGAAACTACTTATAAAGATGGATGTCAAGGACCTAAAGACCAAGAAGGATCAAGAGTCTGTGAAGAACAAAGTGGTTAATGAATATTTGTCTGGCTGAATATAGTCTAGTATAAGTTATGCCAACAAAAACCACAAGTTATATAATAACTTATGTTGTTTTAGAGTGAGGGCAGAGTTTCTCTCTCTAATCTCTAATTTAACATGCCTCTTCCACTCCTTTGGTGTGGTTCACTAAGGTTCCTTACCCAAATCTCTACCTCTTTTGGTGGATCTTTCTAGTGTTTCTGCCCTTTCGGTTAGGATCTCTGGTGGTTTACAATCGTGTTCTCCACATTCGTTTCACTTTGGTTTTGGGTTTATGTCCCTTGTGTTGTGACTCACGGAGCGGTGAAGGAATATTCCGCTGTCACAAGAGGAAAAAGAAGGAATAATGGTGGATGAAGAGGAGAAGTTAGGGGTCGAAATCTTTCATAAAACCCTGTTTTTAGGAAGTTATGGACTGATAACTCATTCAACAATAGGGCTTTCAAAGCAACAATGATTTAAGTTTAGCGACTCAAAAATAGTGTTGAAGCACAAGATCTGGGGAAAAAACATAGCGGGATGCGGGGACGGTGTTAAATGGCGGCCCTTGGAATTTTGACAGAAACCTTCTAAATTCTAATCTTGGAAAGAGTCTCCGGCGAAGAACACTTGTCTGGGTTAGAGATGCACTATGGAGTGCTTTGGGTTAGGGTATACCATCTACCTTTGAAACTCAGATCGGAGACAATGGCTTGGTAACTGGGAGGCATAGTTGGACAGTACGAAGGCATTAACCCAAAGGAGACTAATACGATGGAAAAGTTTCTCCCAGTCAAAGTCAAGGTTGACCTCAGGAAGCCACTAAAACTTCGATGACAACTCTTGTTGATTTTGAACATTCATGCGCTCGGATTATCCAAAATAGTTTAGTTAAAGTAGACACCCCACGAGGGTTCTGTCGAAATTTCTCATCTCCTGGAAAATTTTGAGAGCGTGTTCTCCGGCATAGGTGGAAAAAAAATAATACAGTAGAAAATACATTCCATGATAGGTAGAAAATTCAAAGAAATCGGAAATTAAGCATGCACATTTACTAAGTCAATCCACTTTCTTGATCAGAATTTACATAAACAAGGGCAAGAAAATAAATGTATTACAAAATGCTATAATAGAGTGGAGGAAAGGAAACTACTCATAAGGCTATATAGCGTGTAATAAGATTAAATTTGATATTAGAACTTTTATCTGCTGAAGATAAATCCTCCTTATCTTTGACCTCTTTTGCTGCTGCACATTTAAACAGATGGAAAATATTTGTTCAGATTGAAAGGCAGTGAATAGAACTCTTCACTTCTTGTGTCACCCTTGAATGACTTGTACTTGTCCCACCAATGTTTTCCTCTGTCCTTTCTAATAGACGAATCATTCTTATGTAAAGTGTTGTCTAGGAAATACGCCACAACGCCAGCCACAAATGCTTTTGATTGGAATGGAACGTTGATTATATCGTTGAACTGTCATATACATGGAAAAATTATGAGTTTAAGTTTGATATGAACTGTCATATACATGGAAAAATTATGAGTTTAAGTTTGATATATGTTGTCAGTGTAAAATAGTTATGATAGTATATAGATGTTATCCATACCCATCTTCCGCCAGTGTGGACTGGACCGTAAGCGTTGATTGCTGTATACTCGTTGAAGTACTGTGGTATAGACAGGCCCAAGAATATAGAGAAGCCTAATATGAACTTTGTTCTAAAACTGTTTAGGTTGCAGAACTGAAGAAAACTAAGACCTCCAGCACCTACAAATCATGAATGAAAATGCAAACAGTCGATGATGTTTCTTTTTAAGGATCATAGTAAACAAAAGTGGAAACATCATACATGCATGTTTGAGTTTGTCTTAAATCAAACATACCAACATAAGCGAAGAATAAGCAGTACAGTGCAGCAATAATTGAAGGTGGGATAGAGGCGAAAACCGCTCCGAATTTTCCTACATAATGATGAAAGAAATTTAAGGAATTATTGTATCAAATTGCAAATTTATCACGCTTAATTGACTCACCGAGAATTGAAAAGAAAATCATGAATCCGGCAGATATTTGCACAACTCTTCTACTTCCAACGCGTGTCAAAGCCAAAAGACCTGCATTTTCTCTGTATAGAAAACAAAATAAATCACTTTCATTTCTACTAGTGATTTTAGTAAATAATACAAACAGAATAGTTTCAGTCTTACACAGACACGGACGATCCTGTAATTGTTCCAAACAATCCTGATAACAGAATGCCAACTCCCTAGCAAACATAAATAAGACACGAGGTATTATACTTGATTTCTTGGTGAAAATCATCATTAATATCAAATCAATTATGAAACTATACCATGATTAAAATTATCATCTATAAACGCAAGATTTAGTCATGTCCGTACCTGCCAACCAATACCTCGACTAAGAATAGAAGGTGGTAATGGTGTTGCACTTGCATACCTATACACGGCAATGAAAGCTCCAGTAGACTGTGAACCGAAAGAAACATGTGAGTATTAGACCCACATAAGTTAGCAACTTTGTAACAATCCAAATGATCCCAAAAATGACATTGTGCGTATAGTGACACTATTACTTGTAGGTTAAATTTTAGCATAGTAAATCGTTATATAGTACTTGAAAATGTATTATTGAAGCAATCCCTTCTCTAGATGGTTATATAATAACAGAATATACAATTTAAGAAAATAATTTCTACAAGAATAATCATTAAACAGAAACCAAATCTTATTCCAATTAAAAAAGAGAATGTCTTAAGAAAGAAGTTACCTCTACAAGAGCAACAAAAGATGCCATCATCATGGCAAACGCTTCGCCTGCATCAAATGTAGGTGCTCCCCATTGAAAGGGGTATGGAACTCTGATCCTGCAAAATCAAAATACAAGATAAATTCTTCTCAATAAGTTTCAACTGACTAATTGCCACCTCAGTAAATGCCTGATAGCGGATAATCATAGCAAGGGATCAATGAGAAACCTCTAAATTACAATATCAATACAAAAGCTTCGTAAAACTAAAGGGGTGTACATTTGCAATAGACAAAATGCTGTTAATGGTCAAATTTAATAAAGTCACACAACTAACCAAGGAGCGGCATCTATAAGTCCAGCACGATCAGTGCGGCAGGATGACTGTGTCTTTGGTGCAGCACCGTTATAGGCCCCTCCAACAGTGAGTAGATGAGCATATATCCACACAATTACAACGGTAAATAAAACAGCAAAACGGTCAAAGATATTTTTCCCCGAATGTAACACGTGGGGCACATACTGCATGACAAGTGTAAAGAAGTTTAACAAACTGATATTTATAGAAACCATAATACTGTACGAGAAAATAAGTTTTGGAAAAAATGAAATTAAAGGACACTAGGTGTATGCGAACTCTACCTGTGAAACAAATACTAGCAATATAAGCTCTGGCAGTCCAATCTCGACACATTTAGCAACCTACACACAACAGAACCATCAATGTTGAGATCTTAGTGAAGTATTGTTAAACACGAGTAAGCATGTAGTAGAAAGCTTACCCCAGGAAAACCTAACTCGTACAACCCAAAACCAACCAGTGAAACTAATGGAACAGCTGAAAGTGGACTTAAGAACCTACAGAAAAAATCAAACTTGTATTGTGTCATAACAGAACATATGGCAGATCCAAATCTAATTGCACAAATCACTCGGCTTGGTAGTAAGAATGTGAGACCAACCTTGCAACATTACGCCAAAGGCCGCTAAAGCCTAGTACTATTTGAAGAGTTGAAGCAACAATAAGAGCACCCTGAACTGCCCTCATTATCTTCTTGAATTTCTGAATTGATTTCAAACAATGGAAAAAAAGTTACCAAGCAGTTCCAATCAAATTATCTTCTTAAAGTTATGCAGTGAGCGATTGTTAGCATTTAGAGGCACAATACAAATTTGGTATACAACATGATGGCAAATCATAGTCTCTATTTAGTTTTAAAATGCCATTTGATTACAATTATGTAATATGATAAGCATATCAACCATGCATCATTTAGTATAGTTAGTTCTTCTAACAATACCTCTACCGGATCCGGTTCACCGCTGAATCGACCAGCGAGAATAATTGAGATTGTGGTAGCCACATATGTATAAGAGCCTCCAATTACTGCAGGTAGGCGACTTCCAAAGAGAGTTTGCACCAATGTGTTAATACCAGCAACAAAAAGTAGTGTTTCAATAACTCTAGCCTTCTCCGCCTGCAAGCAACAAACAAAATATTTTAGTCGGATTTTCATAACATTCCTCTTCCGTATCATAATTTGTTAGTCCTTACATTTCCACCTCCCATCTGAGGAACAAGAGCAGTGGGAATGAGCACAGTTGTGCCGAGCATCACTAGAAAATGTTGAAAACCAAGAAGTATAGCCTCAGCTGCATCAGAATATCCCCAAACTAGTCATCATCAGATTAATCGAAAAAAAATAAACATGAAAAAGCAAAGTGAATCAATCAATCTTAAGAAAAAGATTAGGCATGGAGATTCTCAAAATTTTCAACACAAACTACAAATAATTGATCAAATATTCCAATAACTAAAAACCCCTTTATAACATTATTCAACCACCAATTCTTGACTTTATACTTTACACCCTCATGGATCAAATTTAGAAGTAGCAATCAAACTGTTCCCAATCTAGATCTGGAAAAACTTGGAACAACTTTAGAATCAATGCTGAATTAATTACAACAGAAAAATCAAAAAGTATCAAACCAAATCCAAACCAAAGTAGGAAAAAATTGACAGCACAAAAGCTAGTTCTCGCTTCTTTTTTTTTTTCCTCAATAAAAATAAGAATGATTTATTTACTTTAATAAACTAATTTTCCTGAACTAAAAGTGGGGAATATAAAATTTTCCACAACTATAATTTTTTATATATAAAGCTAAAAAAGAACACTAACGCCATGGAGGTGGACTAGTAATGCAGTAAGAAATGTTGGGAAGTTGATCCTTTGGTGGATGTGGTTGTGGTTCATCTGATTTAGGAGCTGGAGCTCCTCCTCCTGCCATAGCTTGTTCTAAGCAATGAAAACAAGAACAGTAAAATGAATGAGTGAATGAATGTATGAACCAAAACCAGATCCTCAATGATAGTGAAATGCAGCTAGAAAGATTAGAATTTAAGAGAGTGAAAAAAGTAATAGTGATAATAATTGATGAATTTAATTGAAAAGGGAAAGGAAAAAGCACCTTTTAAGTGAAAGAGTGTTAATTAATAATCTAAAGTCAAAAGAAAAATGAGGAGATATGTGAAGTGTGTGTGGAGTAAAGGAGACTCCAATGGTGGTAAAAAAATAAAATGATAAAGGTGTTGTATATAGAAACAAGCAAGAAATGAATGTAGATTCTTTTTCTTTTTCTTTTTCTTGTTTTCTCTCTCTAAAAAAGCAGCGTCTCTTTATTTCTCTCTCTAGGTTATATTTTTCACTTTCCAACAAACATTAGTCACATTTATTGTTTTTGTTTTTGTTTTGTACTGTTTGTTTTTTTTTTTTTCTGCTCATATGAGAAAGAGAAATGAAAATGTTGTATAAGAATGTTTAGTTGTTAAGGTAGGTATCAATTCCTTTTCATACCATACTCATGTGTAAGTGTACGTACATCCTAGATAAGATTGTGTATAACACACTATTTTATATTTTAATGTAGTTATAATACAGGCGTATAAATGATGTCTAATACAGACCAAGTCAAACCGGTGGTATCACATTAGTATTAAGGATTAATGTATTTTTGGTCTCTTAAATTTACTGTTTTGCTTTAGTTTTTTTTAATTAAAATGACATAAAATAGTTTCTTAACTAATGTAATATGAAATAGTCGTTCTCTTAATTTTTCACGAAAAAATATTAGATTTTATTTTATTGGATATTTAATATTTAATCTAGAATTTGATATTAATTTAATCGAGAGAGTATTTTCTCTATTTTATGTCTCTCTGTCTTCTATTATCACCATCACAAAACGATGTCGTTTTTAACGATTCTATCCTGCTAAAATGGTTAATGTTTCATTCACTAACATCTCTAATAGCTTCACTTTAATTTTTGTCGTCAAATTTTCATCTTCTTCTTCTTCTTCCTTATTCTTATCCATCACGTCTTTCATTTTTTATTAACCTGTCAATGTCTTCTAAAACCTGGCATCGACTAAATCAAATAGTAATCTACGATTATAGCGTGGACTTAAATGATTTTTCTGTGTAAAGTTGTTGTTTTTATTGTTGTTGGGATTTAAAACAATGGAATTTGATTTTGGATAGAGTTTAAGATGGTGAAAAGTTGAAAGGTCTAATGGATGTGTTGAAGAGAACCATTGAAAATGTTGGAGGTTTGTTATTTTTTCAATGTGTATTCTAGTATGGTTTAGAATGGTTGTGATGTACTGATATTCTAGTTCTCTGACTTCGGAGGCTCCAGTGGCAACGGTAATGGAATTGTTAGAATTTGATTCATCATTGGTTCTTTGGTTGTAGAGTGTGTATCTCTTGATTTTGGTTTTGATATCATTAACTTTAGTTGTTGATGAAGAGTGTCGAATAATGAAAGACTCTTGTTGCTTGTTTCTGATTGTTGTTGTCTCTTGATTCTTGTTGATCGATGGACTAGAATTTCCAAGTGATGTTTTCTTGCATTTTGGGAAAGATTATTTTGTCCTTGATGTGTATTTTGGTCTTTGAAAATAGTACTTCGTGAGAGATTCTAAGTTAAGAAACTTACTGGAATTTTAAAATTTTTTTTTTTTTGAAAAAGATGAGACAGTGTTGTCATCTTGTGATTCCAAGTCGTTCCTTGGTGCTTCAGCTCCAAGTATGGATTCATCTTCCATGGAAGTTTTGTTTGTTGATGGTGGGCCCACAAGTTTGGAACATGAAAGGTAACATGTTGTTTTGTTCTTGCTCAGCGAGATACATGGTCAACATTTTACTGTTTACCTATCTGTCATGCCACATAATAATTACTTCATTTTTTTCAGCAAAACTAACGAAAAAGACCATTTCAGGTAACAAATTATTAGTTAAGGGATTATTTTGTAACATTTTTTAGTTAAAGGACCAAAGTAAAATATTAAATTAAGTTAAGATATTTAGGGACTAATTATGCCTAGATTTTATATATTTAGTTTTGATGGTGAGAAAGAAAGAAAAAGTGAATCAATTCAACTTTAAGAATATATATCAAGCTAACATGTGCCCTAAGGGCACATGTTAAGGATATTATAATTAGAAAAATTTAAATATAATTAAATGTAATAAAGTCATATTTAAAGTTTCAAAATATTGAATGCACGTGTTCCAAGAGAATATTTCTACGTATAACTTATTAATTTGTGCTCTTGGGGCACATGTTAGCTTTTTCCATATATATATATATATATATATATATATATATATATATATATATATATATATATATATATATATATATATATATATATATATATATATATATATATATATATATATATATATATATATATATATATATATATATATATATATATATATATATATATATATATATATAATCAAGATTATACAAAAATAATAGGTAAACATAAGTTACATTGTTATTCCTTTTTTGATGGAAAACTCAATCATCTTAAAAACTATATTCATTGTCCTGGGAGACACAACATCATTATATATAAGCTTTTTCACTCTTTGTAAAAGATTCACTACTTCTAGTACTATAAAATTAAAAGTGTCAAAGGCAAATGGTAACATGTTGATTATCGGAACACGTTTTCTCATGTTGACCACTTTAGTTGAAGGACTTTGAGAGGTGTTTGTCCCTATCCCAGCATTGGGGAAACCTCTGTCAAGTCTACACATGCATGTTTCTTTCCTATCCACTCATACACCACAACATCGGTTAGCCTAAGAGTTGATCTCCTCTCATGTGAGTCAGTCAAGAAATTCACATGTGTCTCTTTTTTCACAAATACCCATGCACACCTAAATATATTAAATAGGATATCTCTAACAAAGTCATGTTAGTATTTGAATCCTAAAAACTCCTTGTAATGAATAGTTTGTTTCCTAAATGTATCCAAGTACGCCTTGTAGCAAATTGGGCAAATCTCATCAACAAGAAAGAAAAGAATCATAAGTCGGAATTTAAGGGGAGTACCTGCAAGGTTAGCAGTTCAACGCTCAAGTCACCGTATGGAGAAGAAGAGTGAAATGAAATTGTGATAGAAAACGGTAACTTTAATTTTGTGCATATTATATATATATATATATATATATATATATATATATATATATATATATATATATATATATATATATATATATATATAGAGAGAGAGAGAGAGAGAGAGAGAAAGAGAGAGAGGTAATAGAATAATAAAATAGGCATTTGGTCGTCGTCTTTGGCGAAAGGTCGTTAGATGTGCTTTACGATCGAGATCTCTTGGAATCATTAAAGTAGTTACCTTTGTTGCTTGAGAAGGATCTGGTAAGAATGAAGTTTTATCGCATTGCAGGCCGATAATAATTATCGACTTTATTCTTCTGGGGTCTCTGCTCTTGGACCCAGAAAAATAGTCATGTTCAATTACCAATCGATTTAGTATGAAACACATGATTGCCAGATGTTTTCATTTTAATCTAGTGACTAATATTTTATTCAATCAATTATTTGTTTCATTTAGCCGTCAAATTGAAACTTCAATTCTCGATTAGTTGTTTGTTTTGTCCCTTTTTTGAAAATATAATCTCAATATCTTTTAGTTTGAGAAAAGAAAGTCTTTAAATTCCCTACTCTTAGTCACCCCCTTACATCCATTAAACGAGGATTGCCTTTGACAGTGGACCCCCTCGTTTAGTGTGTAAGTGTTTGCTTGTTGGCATTAATTTTTGGTAAAATTACCAGTTTTGCGAATGTCATGACTGATGTCATAACATTCTGGGATAAAGACAAATTATGCAGAAGGAATGTTCTACAGGAACAACTCAGTATGAGTGAATATCATGATGATTAAGATATGATCATATATACTAAATTCTACCAAAATTAGTGAGCAGGATACATGATGTCATAACCAATGTTAAGACATCCTGTACATATCAAGTTGTTGTGCAGATTTATTCTTCTTGAGAATTTTCAGGAATCTGGTGTGCTATTCTGAGTTGGAGTTTATTGACTAGATCAGATGCTCACGTGGATATTAGGTTAACCTTGCTTAACCCTAATCTGTTATGATGAAAGTCCAAGACCAAGTCTTTAGGTTAACTTTAGTTAACCCTAGCTATTTTTATGGAAGCCCAAAATGAAGAATAGACTGCATATATATTTCTCAAGAATCCTAATGGTGGAGCAGCGCTTTTGACAGAAGATCAATAAGACATTTTGTATAGTTTTAGTAATTACCGTGAGCCAAGCAATTATCACTTGATAAGTGACTTGGAGTAGGATTTGGTTGTAAGGGTTGTGTATCACTCAAAGCTTTGAAGCACGAGTGTTGTGTCTCTTGATTAAAGATTTGAAGCAAAATCAAGAGTGTGTATTGAAGAATGTCTTCATAATCTTATTAATCAGTAGATTAGTATCACTGCTGTGATTGAAGGGGAGTGAGTAGGAACTCAGGTTTAAGTAGGACTTAGACTGAAGTTGTATTGGGTAGGTCTTAAGTGAAGGAGATAAACTGGTTGGTTTATTCCTAAATTAATACCTCTTATAGTGAATTTCCTCCCTGGCTTGGTAGCCCCCAGATGTAGGTGTTGTTATACACTGAATTGGGTTAACAATTGATTGTGTTCTTTACTGTCTTTTAAATTACTGTTTGGTTTGTGTACAATTTGTAAGATACGGTGTCATAACATTTACTATGACATTGAGTATTTGTTGCCATAATTTCAATTGGCATCAGAGCAGGAACCCTGCCTGTCTTTCTGGGTGAGATCTAGGGATATTATTTTCTGGAGCTATGGACAAGGAAGGAGGATTTGGGAACAGACCACCTATTCTGGATGGATCAAACTATGACTACTGTAAACCTCGTAT